CCCAATTTTTTTTTTTTTTTTTTTTTGTAATATACCACGTTGGAGAGACGAACAAATGCCAGCAAAGACGTTGGCCCCGAGAAGAAGAACAAAACATTTTTTATAAGAATATGGAAACTTTTAAACCTAATAAATGAATTTGAGCGGTTACAATTAAAATAAAATAAAATAAATAACAAAAAAAAAAAAAACTCTTTTACTTCCAGTTGAACGGGTGAATTAAGCAACCCAACTAAAGTTCAACTCAACCGAATAAATTGGGTCATCCAATTATTTTTTTAATTATTTTAAAAAATCATACTTATCCACAATACATCATATTATTAGTAACTAAATTATCATAATACTTAAATATAAAAAATTTATAAATTATAACGGCGTCACTGACATCAGTTATAAGGTAAAATTGTGTTTGATTGAGTTGTAACCCATTTTTTCGAGTTGAATTAAAAAATTGAATTTTTTATTCTTTCAAAATTCGCCAAATTTAAATTAAAAAAAAAATAATTGAATTCAATTTTTATGGTTTAGATTTGGATACTCGAGTTATGGAGTTAAAGTGAACACAAAATATTAATTTTTTTTTTTAATATAAATTAAATCGAGTTGAACGTCCCCATCTTATGAAGTCACGTGACTAGGCTGTTCTCAAACGTGGACCGCATGTGCTAGTGCGTCACACGTCAGCAGTCGGCACCGAAAATTAAAAAAACCCAAAAGATTAAAAATTAAAAAAGATAATCGATATGCTCTGTGTGTGTGTGAATTATTCCTATTTAAATATGGAAAAAAAAAATCCAGTGCGGGAATTTTTATTTAATTTAGGTCAAACTGATTGCGATGGGAGCCGATCAGAAGATCACAGCCGTTGATTCACGAGGAACATGATAGATTAGACTAGACTAGATTTTTTCCCCTATATGGGACCCACCAAATCTAGTGATGAATTTTTCTTGTCCACCGAAGGGCGAAGTGGACATTCTACCGGAGGTTCTATTTCCTATATTTCAATAATCATGACTTCTTGTCTTTTACATTATATTTATTTTATATTAAATTTATACTGGTCAATTTAAACATAACTCAACATTTTTGAATATTTTATCAAAAAAACTTGAACTAAGGATAATATTGTAATTTTGTCTATAGACGTAACATATTTATAGTGCACGAGAGTGACAATTTTGTAATTTTGTTTATAACAATTACGACAATATCAATGGACATAACATGCCCGTCCCATAGTGTGCGAGAATGATTCCTCAACCAGCTTGTTGACTTCTCTAATTAACACTAAGTCATGTTTGACCATATTGAAATAAATATTATTATTATTGAAATGGACGCAAAATTAAAGTTTTCCATTAGGTCCTGTCAAATTGTGGCATTGGGCCACCAACATGGGCCGAGCATGGCCCTGCTTGGTAGAATGGGCTGGGCCCGAATTTGACAAATGACTGAAATACCCATTGTATTAGGAAATAATTTGTAGTTTTAGCCACATTTAATACAAATCTAAAAATAGCAAAACATAATTTCTTCAAAATCTTAAAATAAAATTTAGTAAATGACTGAAATACCCAAATCTAAAAGGTGGTCTAATACCTAAATTAGGAAATAATTTATTTGAATCTAAGACTCAAATAATAATTATATAAAATCCCAATTATTGGACACAAAAACTATAAATTATAAATTAATTCTAAAAAAAATATATAAATAAATGTCTTGATGACTGACTTATGTTTTTGTACTGGATCACAGTTGTCGACCTCTAATCAAGCTACGAGTACAAGTAGATAGAGCGGCTAGGACCGATAAAGATTTCATGACAGACCATGAATGAGTTGATCATACACATCTTTGAACCGTACGAGCACGTCTTCTGTCACTCTCCATTACGCTTACGACTTTTTTCTCCAATCCAACTAGCTTTGGCTCCAGCAAACCGAAGAAGCGTGGAAGGACTTTATCTGCTTTTGATGGGTTAAATTCTTACTAGGGTCAATGTGTGGTTAAGTTTACCAAAGGGGTTGATGACTTTTATTTTTGTGGGTCAACTATGAATTATAAGACATTCAAATCAAAGAAGATTTCCAATGCAACTTAGGGTAGAACCCACTAGATGAAGTTGACCACTCTTTTCATCCCCTTTTCTTTTTTTAATTTATTATTATTATTTGGCTTATATTCTCTTATTTAAAAAGGAAAAAAGAAAATAATAATTTAATTCCATAAAATACCAAATAATAGAGATGCCTTTCTACATAAAACAATTAGTAAATTACAAAAAGAAAATAAAAATAAAAATTAGACTTAATTAAATATTATGGCCTTTACGACTATCGTTTTAGATTATTAAGCTATTTGTTGAATTTCTTCCAATATTCAATAAATAATAAATAAATAAATTTAAATCTGTCGTAAATATTATCGAGATATATATAATTATTAGTGATGGATACGAAAAAATTGTAAGAACAATAAAAAAAATTAAAAAGATCTATATTAAATTCGCTCGTGCCATTTTCACCCTTTTTTTTTAAATATTAAAAAAAAAAGGTAAAGTTGGGTTGTAATTGATAAGGAAAGATCTTAGAAAATGGAATAAAATTAAAAAACAAAGGTGTGGATAACAGCTTCAAAAGTGGTTGAACCATTCAATTGTTCATCGTTCAACCATAAAATAAATATACCCACTTTTAAAATTCCTCTTTATCTTTTCCTCTCAATTTTTTTTAAATATTCACAATTTTTGAGAGTATATAAAAAATAATATAGAATTAATTACAGTTGAGTTAGGTTCATATTGACATATTCATAATTTAGAGAATTTTGATGGATTTTTATTATAAAAGTTAATAAATAGACGATACGAGCACGACTATACTACTTCATAATCTTCACGTACACATTGATTACTAGTGCTACATACCATTATTATAGATAACTCAGACTCATCCAAATTGAGTCCAAATGATGTGTTAATGGAAGAAGTAGAGTAACATAGATTAAGAAAAGAGTTTAATTTTGACCAAAAACGAAGAAGAAAGAGCGGCTTGAAATTCCGTGTACTAAGATTCTCCACAAACCTCAGCTTCAGCTTCCATTACTCTTAATTGTTGTCACAGCCTGTGGCATTCAAGCGCTTTGCTTACAGTTAATATCAACACACACTATTCTTTGCCTCCGCATCTGGTAACTCCGCCGGTGAGAAGAGTCCAAAAAGAGCAAGACTCCCAGATGGGTTTGACCCGAGTTCTGGGCTGACCCAGTAAGAACAATCGCTTCATTTTCTCCATCATTCCTTACCCATTTCAGTATTTTTTTTTTTTTCTCTCTAATTCCTCTTTTCTTCTGTAATTTCTCTGGTTTTGATTCTGGGGTTTCTGTTTTGTGGTCAATTTTGTGGACTGATTAGATGTTCCTGTTTTGATTATATTGATGATGTCTTTGTGACCGTGGATCTTACGGTTTTCATTTTGTTGTTGTAAATTTTTGTGAATTCTTGAAAACGATGATCCATAGTTGATTGTTGAGCGTGTGCGACGGTTCAAACGGGTGGGTTCTGATTTGGTGTTTATCTATCAAATTTTAGTCAGGATTCCATGGATTTGAACGATGAGGGATAATAAGAGAGAAGAACTGATGGATTTGATCTTCAGTGAGGAGGAATTTGAACGGTTCTACGATACTCGTGAGGAGATCTCCTCTGTGTCTGATTGGGGATCTGATTGCTCTGAGATTTGTAGTACAAGTTTTGGGGATGATAAGGATGTTCTTGAAAATTTAAGCTATGGGGGATGGATGAGAGACCTGGAAAGTGTTTATGAGCGCAGAAACAAGTTCTTCAAATGGATGGGTTTGGATTTGGATCAAAATTTTGATATCAGAGATGAAGAGGAAGGTGATTCGTGTCGATGGGTTCATCGGGACAGAATTCGGGAAGATCGTGGAACGGTGTTGAGACTTTCTGGTTCTGTTGGGGAGTTCTCTTCAAGTCTTACTATGTCTTCCATGTTAAACGAGGCTCCGGAATCATCAGGAAATGTTGCTGTGGAGGAGAATTGTACTATTAGGAATTTGGACAATGGGACTGAGTTTATTGTGGATAGTTTCAATGAGGATGGAGCGTTGAGCGTGTTACGGGAAGTTGGTTCGAACCGATCCTTTAGTTTTGATGAG